GCCGAGCCTCATATTTTTTGGCCGGGCCCGGCTCGGCCCAAAAAAGCTGGGCTCAGCCCAAGCTTTTTTTCCCGGCTCGGGTTCAGCTAGACTTGTTGACATAGCTACACACCATAGAGGGCTGTAAATTGGGTACCACATGTTGTCCTTTACATATTGCAAAGTTTCCTCCTGCATTCGGCATAATTAAACCACAGATCAGACAGCAATACAATTATGATTTATTATATTTAGTTGTATTGAGTACTCTTGAAATTCATAAGGTTTGGAATGCCATGAAAGGTTACTAGATATAATCTTTTTCCCTCTATCAAGGCCAAGATTTGTCTAAATAGACCTTCGACGTGTGTGACAGTTCTTTGGATCCCACTTGGCCGTACCCTTCAGTCACTTTTTCTACAACAGCTGTCCTCAAAACGGTAGCCCCAAATTCAATTGTAATATCCCGAATACTGACCATAGGTAGACCATATGTTAGTAGAATTCATAAAGCAAAATGGTCGTCAAAGGAGTATAAAAATTTATCAACAATTTTGACAAATCAGAAGACAATGAGCTGTTTTCCTCATTCCTTAAAAGATGATAACTATACATCTCAACATCTAAAATTGACACTTTTATGATGCCTCATCAGTCAGCTAAGCCGAGTCTTACCTGTTGATAGATGGATACAAAACACCTCTTCGAATTTCTTCATATGTCATATAAGATGCAAGACTGAACAAACAAACAAAACCACATCAGCAAGCTATCTTGCAATTACATGAAGATATAATCTGTGTTAAGAGCAAGGAATAAAAAGTCCTCTAGATCTTTTGAATAAGTAGCATGGAACATCATTACAAAGGTTGCAGGCACAGAATTTTATAGCATACCACCCAGCAGCTGCTTGCAACATTCTATCGGTGATAATATGAGCACCAGAGAGAAGAGCTCCTAAGCCAATCCTAAATGAGCGAAAACATAATTTTAGAGGTTAGTTGACGTAAGTTTCTAATTTTTGAAAGTACTTGTAGGAACTATTACAGACCCGGGAAAGAGGTACATGTTATTTGCTTGATTCACATGGC